ACTCCCGAGGGCATGCTTGGCTCTGAGGGAGGGAAGGAGGGAGGGAAGGAGGGAGGGAAGGAAGGAGGGGGTAAAGACACAGGACGACGAGATGATGAGATGATGCCATAAAAAGTGCACTGCCCTCACAACGTCATTCCACAGGCTGGCAGTCGTGGGAGGGAGGGTCACGGAACCAGCCGCACCTGTAGGCGGGGTCTCCGAAGAGGCTAGCGATTGGTACGTCCAGGTCGTCGCTTGAGCCCTCCACAGCCACGACCCGCACGTTTGGGGTCCCCAACGTCCCCGCTTTTGCCTCGGCCGCAGCCCCACTGGCTTTCTCCCCGCTTCCTCCCACCCCACCGTGCGTGGCGAGCATTTGAGCTTCCTGGAAGGTACTCACCCTCCCCAAGGGGTAGAGGACGACGAGGCGCATGGCGACTTTGCCCTGCACAGCAGCCGCGGCCGAGGGCCCCGTATCTCCCGAGGTGCCCACCAAGAAAGTCATTCGACGTCCCTCCTGGAGCAGATAATGTTCCAGAAGGTTCGTCAGGACCTGCATGCCGAGGTCTTTGAAGGCAAGAGAAGGACCGTGGAAGAGCTCGGCGATGTACAGGGAAGGAGGTTCCTGCTTCTCTAGGAAGGAAGGAAGAGGGTGGCAGGAGAGGGGGAGGGAGGCGGAGGACGAGGCGGTGGTGGAGGAGGAAGAGAGGTACGGCCACGGCAAGGCTTTCCATCGAACCACTTCGGGGACTGCAAAGGAGGCAAAACTAGCATCCACGATCTTTCTCAAGGGCACTTTGTCCACTTCTGCGTTCTGTGTTGCATCCTCGGCGTCGCCATCGTCCATAAAGAGGGCAAGCAGTTTCGTCACTAACTCCGGATAAGTCAATCCTCTCCATGATTCAAGAACACCCCGTGACACGTGAGGAATCCGTTCGGGCAGGAACATTCCCCCGTCAGGGGCCCACCCCGCCAGGACGGCCTCTCGAAAGGAATAGCGTCGAGAGGAGGGAGAGGAGGAGGAAGGGTCGTAGCGTGTGCTTATGTAACGCATGGATGATCACAGGCGTGATTTCCGGGCGCAGGGTGTGGCGTGGTTCGAGGATTGGCAGGTCGAAGACTACGTAACCGAGCAGAGGGCGGTATATCTCGTCAGAACTTGACAGGATAGCACGAGTTGCTTAATGTCAATACTTTTTATTCTGTATCAAGATGCAAAAGTAAGGCGCATGGTAAAGTTTGCCTCAAAGTATGTGATATTGTACACTCTGATGTCTTGTCCCTACTGCGTTTTAGCACTTTCGGGGCTCCAAGAAACAAATGTTAGAGTTCTTCATCTCCTAAATCAATGTCAGAGCCAAAAGCTTTCGCCCCTTGTCATTCATTGTCTCACACGACACCTTGTACCCGGTGTAGCGTTGCCTTGCTTTGGTCCTGAGTACCTGCACGCGGCGGTCTGGGAACGTAAATACATCCGGGTTGGTTTCCTCGACCCCGCTCATGTTTGGGCTGGACCAGGTTTGCGTACAATGAGATGCATTTACGTCTCCGATCAGATAATCTCCTAGAGGCGGAGTACATTTTTAAAATTATAGAGAAACGACTTTACACATCCTTTTTGTGTCATCTAGCAATTGAGATGTCATGGAGGCATGCAATTTCCTAAAACATATGCGGTTGACGAACGTTTTGCGTCCACGCATTGAAGAAATAAAACATGGTGCATCCCCGTCTCTATGAACTGGTTAGGTAGACATGCAATTGAGAAAAAACTGCACAGCTGAGCAGGTTTATCTTTGTACTCAAAAGTTTTAAATGTTGTCTTTTCCTATGTTCACAACGTTTCTTGCGTTGTAAGTCTCCGAGAATAATCTCTCCGTGATCTTCATGATAAATCAACTACACAAAAGTTCATGTGTATGCCTCTATTGTACTGTAAGAGACAGTTTCTTCATTGCTTGTATCTCTGAGCCCGTTGTGGAAGGAGTAGGCAAAATACTCGTGGTACACGACCGACAGTCTCAGAGGGCGAAACGGCTCCTTCTGCCGCTGATATACAAGCAGAATTTATCGTAATACAAAGTCATTCAAGTTGTGCGCCATGATTCATCTACGGTATTTAAAATTTTAGACATGTTTAGTCATAACTCGTCCTGATCCTTCCTTCCCGTCACCTCTTCGAGGAGGCTCACTCCTCGGCGCGAGTGCCCTGACGGGGCCCGGGGACAGGTGCGTACGTCCCGACCTTCTCCTTTCCCCCCCGTCCCTCCCCTCTCACTTCGCCCACCGCACTTTTCTTCTTCTTGTCGCTTCCTCCGGCCCCGCCCGTCACAATGGAAGATGGCCGTGGTTTATTTCGGGGACGGCCACGCACGGGAGAAATGGAATCCGCACCGGCGGGCACGGAGGGCGGGGAATGTTTGTGCTGCCAGTGCTCGAATACCACCTGTGCTAGACGAATCAAGGAACCCATGCCGTGCCCGGGAGATCCTGAATAGTGGTCGGAAAATGAAACGTGCCGGTAACTCCCATGATGGGCGCGATGTTTCTGTTCGGCCGTGGAGGAACGCACGATGGGGATCGGTTGTGTGGAGGGCAACGGAGCATGACCCAAGCGCGTCGGATTGGAAGGAGCTGGTGTCACCAGGAGACCGGGCATAGGACAGGCAAGGGGTGGAGGAGGGACGGAGGAAGGGAGATAGAGGGAGGGAGGGAGGGCTAGCGGCTCGACGTGCCAAAGCCCCGGCCGGTAAGGGCCTCTGTGGACCAAAATGCAAGGGTGTATCAAAACATGTATGAGAAGTGTTTCCGGCGCAAAGTCATAAAAAGGGAGGAGTTGCGAAACTGTAGTTCGGCCTAGCGTCCTCCTCAAGTCCCCAGCCTGCGGGCTTCAAC